ACACAATCACAGCTATAAATACAACAGGATATTAATAAATGAATTTATTATTGGTTTGATATATATGTCAAATTTATCAATAAGCAGGGTTCACCACAATAGTCAATATTTAGAAGTATTGTCACTATTTCTAAAACCTTAAACAAGATGTTATATAGATACGCCTGTTATACGGAAATTTCATGTATGTCTGGTTGCATACATTCAAGACTTTGACAATTTTTCTTATAACTTCTTGTCTAATCAATGGTTATTTATTCTATTATTAATATTGATAATTTTACTAAGATTGGCCAATTTGGATTATGTTTGATATAGTTATCTAAATTTGGTTACCATGAAATTAGTGATTTTCTAAAATTTTTTATATACTACTTTTTACTTTTAAATATCTATATCCCACTATTTCGTATACGAATTTTTCTTTTAATGTTATTTGTGCACAAAGTCTCAAAGGAAAATAAAGGTACCTTTTATACGTATTATTGATAATGACTTATCGACTGATTTTGCTCCTTTCCTCTGCTTGCTTGTTTTCCTTACTTCTTGTCTATCCTATCTCGATCCTATCTCGCTTACTTTCAGGAACCTGTCGACTACTCCGCTTTCTGGCTGGTCTCCTGTTCCCTGCTACTGCTACTATGATTTACCACCGATCTCCTGGATCCTGCTACTGATATTCCTTTTCTTTCTTTCCTCGTGTAACCTGCTATAGAAATTTCTCGTCCTTGTTGTCTTCCTGGACCTTGATTATGGGTACTCCGCTTATATTGTACCTCTTCACCACTTGGTACTTTTATATTCTTGCTCTCTTCTAATTGACTCTTTTTATACTCACTCGTTCATTAAATACTTATATTTGATATGGGTTTTATTTTCTTTCCTCAATACCTGACGTTTTTACCAAATTTTTCTGTAACTAATCAATAATCTCCACATTTTTTTTACTATCTTGATTTTTTCTTTCTCTTATAAAGGCCTTTCCACATATCTCCTTTTTGGTTTTTTATTTTAACGTGCTCTTTTCCTTTTGCAATTCACTTCACTTCACTTTATCCTTTGCACTTATACATCCTATTCTAATTTATTTACAGTCAATTTTACCTTATACTTCTAAATATTTCTTATTTTATAATATTCTTTGACATTTCTAGTAACTACTGAATTTCTTGTGGATCCCACTTTAAATTTGACATATTTCTGACATATCCTTTTAATTACTGTACAAACTTGTCTTTATATCTTTTATTAACTCCTACTCTACCTTATTTTATAACTATTTAATCAAACAATGGTATTTTAACTTTTGTTAGATATCTACCAATTCTGCATTTTAATTTATTTCAACTATATTTTTCTTGTAATAACTTGACCTATGCTCCAATTGAATAACATGATAATCAAGTCAATAATAAATTTTGTAATAATCATTTGAACCATTCTCTCGTTAATCTAATTTCATCTCAATATACATGGGCGTAGCGAGGTACGGGCAGGGTGGGGCAGCTGCCCCCCCCTTTGAAGAGCGGTCGTTCGCCGGTAAACTGTAATTCTGACGAGCTTCATAGAGTTTTTTTGTTATAGAAAAATGAATCGTAAAATGTTTAGTGAAAACTCAAGAGAACTTTAAAAAAGTAGTAAAGAATCCTAATTAAAATAGACATAGGACATAGGAGCGGAGCGCATATTTTGAAACACAGGACGCTAGAAGCATTAGACTAAATAGTGGGCTGTCATTGGTTGTTTCGGAATTCGGATTAGTGGCGGGAGTTTAAAATGCATTAATGAGTACATAATTCACACGTATTGCGTAACTGTCCATAGGAGTTGTATGTAATTAGAATGTAAAGTACTTCAAGTCTAGCTAAAATTAAAAAACCACTTTAATGATTTAACTTCAAGAGTATAAATTATTCAATTGACATTTGAGGCAGTGGCAATAACTGAAATGTTAATTGTATTTTATTGTCCTATTTAAATTTGTACCTAGATATTTATTAAGTTTGGTTAAGTGTTTTGGTGTAAACAAACCTTACTCGTGCGGCGCCGGCGTAGAACCAACACTGTACGATTACGAATTGACCAATTAGGCATCGTTTTATAAAGCTATGCTTCTAGCGTCCTGTGTTTCAAAATATGCGAGCGGAGCAGGTGTTGTGCCAATGTTGTGCGCCTTCATCGGTCGCCGCTCGCATTCATTCTCAGCGCTCCGTCTTGTACATCGAAATTGTGAGTTTGTCATTGTTGTGCGTGTGTTTTTTGAAAATGGATATAAGAAAGTTTTTTAAAGGTAAGTAATCAAATAATTACGTATTAATAAAAATGTATTTAATAACAGCTAAGAAATGATTTGCAAGTGTAGAGTGAGGGATAACATGAGTCCCTGCTGGGCTAGCCGTAGTGCGCGCCAAGCAACCCAATAAATGTGCTATTATTTTTCTCATGCCCGCGTGTAGGTATTGTTCCTGTTCGTGTGGTAGTGGAAGATAGTCCGCGCCACGAAAGGAGTTCCACAATGCTGGCGCTAGTTTCTACGTATTTATTCCTTCTTTAATATCGTTTACTATACCGCGGGACTTCTTTTTTGGCACGGCCTCTAACTAGGAGTGAACGGCGGCACACATGCGCTAGTTACGAAAAATACGAAGTTGCGCAACGCTTTTTTATTTTTAATGCGAATAATTTATGAATAATATTAGGAAAACCGCAATTATTCTGATTTTATGAATATACTAATTAAGTATATTATATTAAATAAGTACATTTCAATTCTCATAATTTGATGTACCCAATTTATTTCAGATCAATAAGATATTTAATAGCGTATGTATTTTTGTTTCAGGGACTTTGAAAAGGAAAAAAGAAAGTAGTAGTGAAAGTGATGAAGAAAAAAAGATCGAAAGAAGTTTATCACAGAATTCATTGGCTCAAGCTGGTTCGTCTAAAGTCGAAAATATACCCGAAGATAAAGATGTTTGTTGTAACGATCTCGGCAAATGGGTAGGGCGAACTTCTTTAATGACAACCAGTCAAAAATTGGATATGCTTAAACGTTGTTGGGTACCTCCTGAGAGTTACGACTTTGTCAAAGATGCCGAAGCCGCTAATCTCAAGCGTAAATTCAATCATAGTTGGTTGCAAACTTATTCGCCCTGGCTGGCTTATTCCAAATATCTGAAAGGTGCACTGTGTTTATATTGTGTACTATTTCCACCAAAATTAGTAGGTTTGGGTTCATTTGTAACTCGATCGTTTTGCCGTTTTAAAAATATTCATGAATACTGCGTTAAGCATGTCTCATCACAATATCATAAATCTGCAGTCAACGATGCAAAAAATTTTTCGGAGCAAATGCCTGTGGATGTAATGATGAATACGGCTCATCAGCAGGAAATTGAGAAAAATAAAAATATACTGTACTCTATAATTTCTACAGTTATTTTTTGTGGCACTCATGACTTGCCTTTGAGGGGTAAAGAGAATCATGAAGGCATTCTTGAAGACCTTTTAATTCTGAGAATTGAATCTGGCGAACAAGATTTGAAACAACATTTACAATACGGGAAAAAAAATGCCATGTATACATCCCCACAGATTCAAAACGAAATTATTGATTTATGCGGCTTGGTCGTAAAGAATGAAATTATACAGGTTGTAAAGAAAGCTTATGCTTATAGTGTCATGGCAGATGAGTCATGTGACATAGCTGGAAAAGAGCAGCTTTCCATTGGAATCCGTTTTTATGACGAAAGTAAAAATATGATACGTGAAGAATTTCTAGGATTCGTGGAATTGATTGCAATGGATGCTAATACTATAGCGTCAGAAATTGATAAGTTTTTAGAAAACGCAGGACTTGAACCTGATAGGTGCATTGGCCAAGGTTACGATGGGTGTTCTACAATGGCTGGAAGTATTGGTGGCGTTCAAAAAAAACTGAGGGAGAAATATAAAAAAGCCTTATATTTTTATTGTGCAAGCCACAGGCTTAACTTAGTAGTAAATGATTTAAATCAAGTGCCAGAAATACGAAACACAATCGGTACGATAAAAGATATAATTAATTTTTTCCGAGAATCTTCTTTAAGAAGAAAATATGTTCCTAACATTCCGGCCTTATGTGAGACACGCTGGTCGCAAAAATATAAGAGTGTCGCCATTTTTAACAAACATTTTGAGCAAATTATTAATGGACTTGCAAAGATATCTACAGAAGGGAATGCTGCTGCAAGAAAAAGTGCTTTTCAGTTACATTGTGCTGCTACTAAATCAGTATTCATTATATGCGTTGCATTGATAGCCAAATATTCAGGTATATTGGAACCTGTTGCCAATGCATTACAATCGAAGACTATCGATATGTACACATGTACGAATCATATTAAGAGAATTATATCTGTTATTAAAGATCATCGCGGTAACGCAGACAGGGAAAGTCAGAATATTTTAGACATTTCATATAGAACAGCAGCTGCCATTGGAACTGATTTGCAAATCCCGCGCACTGTAGGTCGCCAACAACATAGATCCAATCACCCAGCTGAGAGTGTATGCGATTTTTGGAAGCGATCAGTTATCATTCCTTATTTAGATTCACTGATATCCGCACTTGAACAGCGTTTTTCTAACGACCATTTACCAGCTTTTAGTTTAATGTCGCTACATCCCAGTTCAATGTTAAATATGAAACTGGTTGATTTTAAAGAAAAATCACAAGATTTCTGCCAGTACTATGATCTTCCTCTTTTTGAACATGAAGCGGAATTATGGTATAAATTGTGGAAAGATAAAGGTAAACAAAGTGAAGATCTAGAAAAATTAGACTTTACAGATGTGTTAAAGGAGGCGAACACCTTCTTCCCGGCTACAAGAAAAGCTATCATTATTTCGTTGTCACAGCCGTGTACAACCAGCAATATAGAAAGGTCTTTTTCGACCTTGCGACGTGTAAAAACGTGGTTTCGGTCTACGATGACCGAAAACCGTTTAAACGGCTTATGTATGCTAAGCGTTCACCGGAAAATTGTTAAAGAAAAAAAAGAAATTGTACAAGAAGTTTTGAAAAGATTTTGTGAAGAGCCTCGTAGATTGATTGTCAAGTAATAAAGCTATTTCTGATTTTTATATATTTTTTTAAATACTACCTCCACTGCTCATGTGAAACTCATATGTTAAAAACAACGATTAAAACAATATAATCTAGGATTTTCTTTGTCTGCCCCCCCCTATATACAATCCTGGCTACGCCCATGTCAATATATATATATATAACTTAAATTTCCGATTACTGTTTCGGTCTTTTTTAAAAAATAATTTTTAAAATTAAATTTTATTGTTGAATGATAATTACAGTGTCAGATTCTAATGCAGACTGATTTAAATGGCTATTGCCGTCCACTTGTCCAAAATTGATGACACGGCATTCCTAGGCTGTCCAGCTCATGTTAGCAATGTCGATGCTCCCATTTCCTTAACTCTACAGGTAGTTGACCCTATATAACTCTTCCACCCTCAGAATGAAGCATCCCCTGGGAGGCTGATTTTATTTTCTTCTTTGCCTTTGTCTTGATTTGATTTATTTTCTTTGCTCTTATTCTTCTTTGTTGCCCTTTTGTTCTTCCATCTTATGCAGATGTATACAGCAGTGGTTGCTAGTAAAATATACAGGATGATGGTCCAAAGACTTGGCAAGTGATATTTGTGAATTTCTTCTTCATTTTCGATCGGCATCATAGGATCGGTAGGTAACTCTTTAAGATTTAGTTTATTTAGTTCCACTTTAAATTTGGGACGAGTATGAACTTTTGACTGAAGATGAACTGTATTAACTATGAGTGGTTTACCATAACTTGTTTCTTGAAAATTTAATTTTCGTCCTTTGAATACTAAGTTACAGGAGTCTTTCTTAATTAGGTAGATACCTGTAAGTGATATAGTTTCAATCGATTTTTGACATTGGGCTTCGATTTTCTCTTCTTTTGGAAATACAGCCAAATATTGGTTAATTTCGGGTACAGTTTCGATGTGATTTTCATCGATTTTTAATCGAATGAAACGGCAACCGCTAGAGTTTTGATTTAAGAGAATATTTTCTTCACAGGGTGTTCTGTAATTGGCTTGTAGACTGTTCGGACAGTGATACCATTTACCTTGGGTACACATGTCGGATAGAGGTTTAATTGTGCCTTCATTTTTGGCTTTTAAAACAAGTTTCGTGTTTGGAATTATCGTTAAGTATTCTGATTCATGCCTTGTTGGTATAGATAGCATATTAAATAAGTCATATTCTTTTTCAAAATAGATAGGGATTGATAAGAAATATGTTATTCGATTTGGGTCTATTTTGCAATGAATTTTTAAGAGAG